ATGTTGTGGTTAAAGCGGTTTATCCAAGAATTGGGTTTACAGCAGGAAGAATACAAGGTACATTGTGATAGTCAGAGTACAATTGATCTGAGCAAGAATTCCACGTACCATTCACGTACAAAACACATTGATGTCTGGTATCATTGGATACGAGAAGTGATGGAAAAACAGCTGATGAAGCTAGTGAAGATTCACACGGACAAGAATCCTTCTGACATGATGACCAATGGTGTCACCAGAGACAAACTGAAGTTTGTAAGAATTTAACCGGGATGGACTTCAAGCGAGATGTCAGTTATCCATGTGGGCATGGAGGGGGAGAATTGTTAGCTTCCAACCCACACTCCACATGGTGTGGGTGGCACCATGTGCTAAAGAAAAGTGGTGGGGGCAACACCAACTCACTAAAGGAAGATAGTGAGGGTGGTACCACCTTGGCCAATTATGGCTGTCCCTTCACCCACTCATCTTCTCTTGGTTATAAATTGAGATGAGTGAGGAGGGGTTGAATACACAAGATATAGGACAATGAGCAGAACACTAAGAGCGTGAAAGTGAGAGTGCTATAGAGAGAGAGAGTGGGGTGTGAGTTGTGTAAACTCCCTCCGGGATAAATTCTATAGCGGATATATCTCCTTGGACGTAGGCAATTGTCGAACCACGTAAATCTCTTATGTTATTGTGTGTGATTGATTTTTGGTGTCTCATAGTCCTAACAATTTGTTCTCAATGAAGCACAAGCATCGGCGCAAATGGAGAAAATTTTGGACATAAAATTCAATGGGAAGGAGGATGAGACTGTCACTAGAATTGTGGACTTGAAGACGAAGGATATGGAGAGGATTGGAAAGGAATATGGTGTAGCAGTGTAATTAGCTGTTACTAGGTGATCAATAATGCTAAACAGTTGCTTATGGAGCTGCTTTCTTGGAATGTCAGAGGGTTAGGGAGGCCTGAGAAAAGAGGTAAAGTGAGAAAGTAATTAAAAGAAAGTAATGTTGATATAGCTATGCTTCAGAAAACTAAAAAAGCTTCTATTTCTGAAGATGAGGTAAAATCAATGAGCAAAATGAAGTATTTTGCAGTAGATACTGAAAGCTCAGCTGGTGGGTCATTGTGCATTTAGGACCCAGAGGTGCTACAAATATCAGAGTGCTATAGTAATAGAAGGTTCATACTGATATGAGGCACTATTTTTAATTCCTTTGAATGTGTCATCTCAAATGTATATGCTCCTAATGAGGTGGGGAGAAGGGGTGAGTTTTGGAATTGTTTGTTTAAGCTCAAGATGAAGTTCCTAAATCCTTGGTGCCTGGGTGGTGATTTCAATGAAATAAGAAGTATAGGAGAAAGAAGAGGTTGCTCTAGAAAAGATAGAGGGATGAAGGAACTTAATGAATTTATTGGTAAGTGTAAAGTTATTGATTTACCATTATTAGGTAGGAATTTACTTGGTGTGATGCAAGAGAATGAGAGAAATGGAGCAGGATTGACAGGTTCTTGGTGAGCCCAGGATGGGTAGAGAAGTTTAATTTGAAGCTTTGGGGCTTGCCTAAAATGATATCTGATCATTGCCCCCTGTTACTTATGGAGGATGAAAGAGATTGGGGTTCGAAGCCATTCAAGTTCCTAAATGCTTGGATGCTTCATCCTAGTTTTTCTTCCTTGTTTGTTAAGGTTTAGAAGGAGACAAAGGTGGAGGGATGGGCTAGTTTTGTTTTGTTTAGTAAGTTGAAGACTTTGAAAGTTGCCCTTAAAAAATGGATTAGAGAGGTATTTGGGAATGTCACCTATAAATTGAAGCAAGCTGAGATGGAGCTACATAAGATTGATCTTTTGGCTCAAGAAAGGGACCTTGATGATTCTAAGAAAGCTAGATGGAGAGAGGTCAGGAGGAATACGTAGAAGTTGAATAGAATGTTAGAGAGGATTTGGTTGCAGAAGTCCAAACTTAAATAGGCTTTAAATGGGGACAAGAATACTAGGTTTTTTCATGTTATGGCTAGAAGCTGAGAAAATATAAATGAGATCAACTCAATTAGGACTGGTGATATGGTGCATGAGGCCCCTAGTGATGTTAAGAATGGGGTATCTAGTCATTTCAAGAATCACTTTTCAGAGTCATGGATGTCAAGGCCTAAATTGGGAGAGGGGGAGGGGGACTTCAAAACAGTGAGGAGTAGTGAAATGTTTAACCATCTTGAAGATGTATTCTCAAAAGTAAAGATCAAGGCTGCAGTGTTTGATTGTGATGGGAATAAAGCTCCAGGACCTGATGGCTTTAACATGGGTTGTTTTCAAAAGTTTTGGAAGATTATGAAAAATGAGGCGATTCAATTTATGAATGAGTTTCACAGGAATGGTTGTTTGGTCGCTGGGATTAATAGTGCATTCATCACATTGGTCCCAAAAAAGCTGAATTCAATTGGATTGTCTGATTATAGATCAATCAGTCTAGTTGGATCATTGTATAAAATTGTTGCAAAGGTTTTGGCTAAAAGATTGAAAGTTGTGCTGCCAGAAGTTATAGGTGAGCCACAATCAGCATTTTTGGGAGGTAAAAATATTCTTGATGGAGTGTTAATAGCTAATGAGGTTGTTGATGGATGGAAGAAAGCCAAAAAGAAGGTGTAATAGTTAAACTAGACTTTGAAAAGGCTTATGACTCCATAAATTGGGAATGTCTATTACCAATGTTATCAAACTTTGGCTTTGGTGCTAAGTGGATTGCATGGATTGAGGAGTGTATTTCATCAGCTAGGTTATCCATCCTAATAAATGGATCTCCAACTGAGGAGTTCAAACCACAAAGAGGTCTTAGACAAGGTGATCCCCAATCACCTTTTTTGTTCAACGTAGCTGCTGAAGGGCTTAACATACTACTGTCTAGAGCATCTGAGTTGGGACTTATAAATGGTGTGAAGATTGGTGTGAATGAAACTAGGCTTACCCACTTGCAATTTGCTGATGATTCTACACTGTTCTGTGAAGCAGATTTGATTGAAGTGGTGAACTTAAAAAGGGTTTTAAGGTGCTTTGAGATTATGTCTGGATTAAAGAAAAATTATCATAAGAGTGTAGTATGTGGGGTGGGTGTGCCTAAGGATACCCTTGCTGTTTTTGCATCTAAACTTAATTACAAAACTAGTTTTCCTTTAAAGTATCTTGGCTTACCATTAGGGGCTAACCCAAGTAGGAAGGCAACTTGGAAACCTGTGCTTGATAGTGTGAAAAGTAAATTGGCTGGTTGGAAGAGAAGGTTTTTATCCTTTGCAAGTAGACTAACATTGATAAAGTCTGTGTTATCCTCTTTGCCAATTTATTCCTTGTCTCTTTTCAAGATGCCTGAAAGGGTGGAAAGAGAAATTGAGAAAATTCAAGCTTCATTCCTATGGGGAGGGTCTGAGCTGAGAAAGAAGATTCACCTCGTCAAATGGTTTGATGTCACAAAAAAGGTGGATCAAGAGGGTTTAGGCATCAGAAGAATTAGGGATGTGAATGCATGCTTGTTACTAAAGTGGTGGTAGAGGTTTGGGAGTGAAAAAGAGGCTCTGTGGAGAAGAATTATTTGTAGCAGGTATAAGTTGGATTTAGGTAGCTGGCTACCATCTCTCAGTCCTAATAACAAGTATTCAACAGTGTGAAAAGGGATTGTTGCAATTGTGGAGTAGAGTCCTAGATTGTATAACATGTTTATAAATATTTTTCGACTTAGTGTTGGGAATGGTAGTAGCATTAGCTTTTGGAATGACAGAAGGTGTGGTGATATAAGGTTGAAGGAGGAGTTTCCGAGTTTATTTAGGCTGTCTGTGGAGAAAAATGAATCTCTAAGTTTGATGCATGAGAGAGGGGGTAACTCAGGGGAATGGGTGTTTCATTTCAGAAGGTCTATATGAATGGGAGTTGCAGGAGGTTTTGAGATTATCTACTGTCACTGATCATTGATCTGCAATTAGATGTAATCAGATTGATAGAGTTATGTGGACAGCTACAAACTCTTCCTTAATTGTGTACTTTGTGGCCTCTGTATATAAGGTCAATAAGGATTACCTCGGTCCCAAGGTCACTATCAATAGATTGGCGTGGATCAAGCACATCCTCCCAAAAGTTCAGTTTTTTGGATAGTTGGCATGGAAGGGTTGAGTTAAGACTGTTGAGTATCTACATGGAATTGGAGTCATTCATAGCAATGATCCCAACTTGTGTGTGTTTTGTAAAGCAGAATGTGAATCCTCGAATCATGTGCTGATATCCTATCCTTTCTCATGGCAAGTCTGGATGAATATACTTAGCTGGTGGGATGTTCAAGGTGCTTTGCCAGGGTCAGTTGCAGAAATGCTGCATTGGTGGGCTGGGGGTTGGGTTAAGAAGAAGGTGAAACTGATTTGGAGTGCTTCCCCCTTAGCTGTGCTTTGGTCCTTGTGGAAGCCAAGAAATGACTGCCTATTCAGGAATTCTACTCCTATTTTGGCTAAGGTATGTGAGTTAATTAAAACCAGAGTTGCTATGTGGGTTAATCTGAAGCTCAAAGAGTTTAACTTCACAATCAATGACTTTGTGTTTAATTTTAGGCAGGTAAGAGCCTGCCTTGGGCATAAGATGGTGGTGGCTGCCTAGATTGAGTTTCTTTCGGTGTGAGCTGTGGGTGTTGTGTTGTTTTCTTGTGCTCCTGTGCTATCTTCCTGGTTGGTTACTCACCAGCCTTGAGGCGTGCAAGCAGATGATGTGCTAGTTCTATAGTGCCATCTTAGGTGGGAGTATAGAGCTAGTTGTGATGTTTTTTGCACTCTCCCACTTTATTGATGTAATTTTCCTGTTATTATCAATAAAGTATCTTTTTGCTTATTCAAAAAAACTTATTAGGTTTTTATCCGTGGTGATGTATTAATTTTAGTCTTCAAAACCCAACTTGTGTGCTAGTTAGCTCGATCTTGACGATGACTTTGGAGTTAGGAGTCTTTGCTTCAAGTTATCATAATTTTCAACTTAATTAAAATTACCTTGATTAGAAAATCATGAGTATCGGAGGCTGTTTGCAAGTCTCCTGTCTTGTAAATTGTCGTATTTTTAGAGTAAGAGAATCCAACACCGGCAGGGGAGTCCAAGTATATCATGTTTGAAACCTACGGGGACAATAAAATTGAAAATTATATGTGTGAGATCAAGTTTTTTAGATATTAATTTTCAGGAAAAAGTAAGGGAAACATATAAACTAGTATAGATGATGATGATGACATCATTGAGTTCTTATTTTTCGTTACAGTCAAACATACGAATCCCGAACATATTTTTAGGGGGGGGCATGTTAAGTAAAACTATGGAATTTCTCTCTGTAGACTTTAGTACATCATGCATTAAACTATAAAGTAATTAACAAACACAAAATAAAAATTATTTGTTGGGTGGCCCAACTGCTGCCTTCTTGGGAATGAATTACAAGTTATTTCAGTTAATATAATCTTTAGGAGACAATCTATAGACATGAGATTTATTAATTAAAATTATTTTATAAGTGCAAAAAAAAAAAAAAAAAAATGAAGATTGTATGAAAAGACTGAAGTTGACAACCTTAGACCAGCTGTATGGATTGAGATGCAATTTAGGCAGGCTTCCTTCCGTTTTCCCTGCTTCGAAATTGAATGGTCCTATACATATATTTGAGCACAAAAATTAAAATTATATATATAATCGCAATCAGTATCAAAATATGTCACAGACACGTATATTCTAATTAAACAACATCAATGAGCCCAATTGAATAATAATCCATTGGAAATTCTAATATAAATACCCTTGAAAATAGTGTATCATATTGCTATTTTTTTCTTTAGTTATGACTAATTTTCTTATTTAATTATGACATTATTTTAGTTATAACTCATAAGTTTTTTGGTTATGTCTCATGTTGTATTTAGTTATGACAATTTTTTTTTTTTTAGTTATGACTCATAAAGTATGAAATTTTATTTTTTAATTATAAGGTACATATGATACACATTCTGATATACTATTGTGTTTCCCAATATTCATATATATATATATATATATATTAATATTGGTCAAGACATGTCACGCAGTAGAATCTGCATATATCTTCTATTCCAAGACATTAGTTACAGGTCAAGAAATATAATTGTGTGCCTGTTTGGTGCAGCTTAAAAGCTGCTTATTTCAGCTTTTAACTTAATTTAAGTTATTTTGATGTGTTTGGTTTAGCTTATAGCTTATAACTTATAGCTTTTTGGAAGTTAGAAATCAGCTTATTCTTTGAGTGGGGCAGGACATGCTTAATTTATAAGTTAGAAATCAGCTTATGTTCGTAGTTATAAGCTATAAGCCGTTTAGGCATAAGGTATAAGCACTTTTCCACAGCTCTACCAAACAGGGTGTAAAGAGCAACGATTAAGCTTAAAAAATTGAAAAAGGGAAGCTAGCTAGATAGATAACAAGTGATTAAGTTATATTAATATAATTGAAAATTGACATGTTTGAAGTCAATTAAGGTACCGTGTTCATAGACGAAGCCATCAAAGCTAGAGCAACCTGGACCACCATTGAGCCATAGAACTACCGGATCATCTCTTGGATTTCTTTCCGACACTACAAAGTAGTAGAAAAGGTTCTTCGAGGGAGCAATATCTCCATTTATGGTTACATACCTTCACATCATATCCCCAATTAAGTCACTAAAATACATTCTAGCAATACTTCAAATTTAGAAAAATTATTTAAAAAAATTATTCAGAAAAAAAAGAAAAAGAATCAATGGTCTACAATAATTGCGTTGCGGGTGTGACCCACTTCTCATTAATTTTAAATATATTTTTATGGTCCATTTTTAAATTCTACTACATACAAATCTTCATGTATATATGTAGAAATGTAGAATAGTTGTAAAAGTATTTGCATACCCAGAGTAGTGTTTTGAAGGAAAGGTGCCATTGAATCCTGGAAGGCTTTTAATCCGAGAGGCCTTTGGTGCTGCTTCAACGATAATAATCTCACATCCCAAAAGCAAGCACCAAACTGATGATATCTTCAAAATTACTATTAACTTCTCCATGCCCATCATGCCTGCCTATCTCACTGTTTTCTTTACAATTCTTGACACAAACATAAACATAAAATAAAACGAATTAATTATACATAACTTGAAGAAACTTTTGGGTTGATAATTAGCAAACCATGCAATGCAAGTTGCGAGAGGGCTGTTTTGGAATGAGATGTATGATGAGGATATTTATAAAGAATACTTGTACTGTACAAGTTCACATACATACAGCTCTTCTTGCCATTTCTGGTTGGAATAACAAACTGTCCTTTCCTGAGAAAAGGAATGGGATTCGAGTTCGACACCACACGACACACACAAGTGCTGCAACTGAATGCTACTAAAAAATTGCTGAGCAAAACTGGGTTAGAGAGAGACAGAGAGAGGGTATAATGATTGGGGTGGGGTGGGGTGGGCATGACTTATTAGATTGGAGTCAAGTCCAGATATAGATACTACTAGTACTATACTATCTATGATGATGATGATGACATCATTGAGTTCTTATTTTTCGTTACAGTCAAACATACGAATCCCGAACATATTTTTATTTAAAGACTAAGACAATAAAGAGTATAATTTTATATAAAAGGTGATGTATCAATTTTTGCTTTATCACATAATTAAATTAATCATGTAAGAGTAAGACCTAACTCCCACTTGTAAGTGAATTTCTAGCATTTCTTGCATTCTCTGTATTTACTTCTTGAAGATTGCAGTTGGAGGACTCGTGTGTCCAACAAATTGGAATCTTTCTAGATTCTCATGGAATCCAAATTTGAGAATTCTTTTCTACATTTGATAAAAATTTATTTCTTTGGACTTGTGTTTGTCTTTGAATTTATTTATTTGGACTTGTGTTTGTCTTTGAATTTTTGAATTAAGAATTTTAAACAAAAATTAGCAAAGCAAATAAAATATGAAGAGAAAAGTGAATGATATAAAAGTTAAATTTTCTACGTTTTACTTTTCTTTTCTTTTTGTTTTTTGGTTGAAATTTTTTTCTTCAAATTCCAAAACCAATGGTATTTGAATTTTGGATTTACATAGAAATGTGTGAAAGAAAAATAAAAAGAATTTATTTATTTGGAAAAAAAATGTCCCAAATTTATATATAATATAATACATATTAGCAGTAACTCTTGCAATGTGTGGGATTCACAAATTGGTATAAATAAATTACAAAAAATATCAAATTAAACAAAAAGACAAATGAAATATGCACAAAAAAGAAAAAGAAAAAAAAGAGAGTAATTTTTATATATCAATAAACACATAAATAAGTGTGAGTAATTTCAGTAGTGTAATACTATCTATAAACAAAGGACATTCATAAGACGACTCAAAATATGTAATATGAAGTCGTTTGTTAAAAGTTACATTAACAACATCATGCACAAAAAGAAAAAAAGAGAGTAATTTTTAGGGAAAGTTACCATTAAATCCTAAATGTTGAACTTATGATCTATTTGGTCCCAAATGTTTTCTAATGTTCCGTTTGATCCTTTTGTTTGCGAAAGGACGCATTTGCCATTTAATTTGGTTGTTTGTGTTAGCGTTACAGCTGGACATGAGAGTTGTTTTTAATGCGCGTGAGCCACGCAGCTTGATTGTTCTGTTTTCAATTTGAGGAAAGTCACGTGAGGGAGGTCACGTGCCATGTAATTGGGTGTCACATTCCGAAAAAGCGTATTAAGGGCATTTTATTTACACATAAGGACTGGCACATGTCACATCAATGGGTGCCATACAACACTGAATCATACTAAGGGCTTCTGGTAACTAAAAGTAAGTGAGGTGAGTGTCACGTGGCACACAACCCAAAGAAGAAAACCCATACCCATTGTTAACACATTTGACATTATAAACACAAATCACAACTGACATGCAACACCCAGACACACATCTTCCCCACACACCGCTGACGGGAAAAATGCACACACCGCAACCCCATACGTCCCAAATCAAACACTCAACATGGGGGGGATTGGTGGGTGTCACACATCAAGAAAGTGCACTAAGGTTCTTTATACTTTTTGCCTTGAAATAATGTATGTCACGTGACACACAGTGTTTGGCACGTGTCTTTATGAGGGTGATCGGTGGGTGCCACACATCAATAAAGTACACTAAGGCTCTTTATGTTTTTTGTCTTAGAATGATGTATGTCACGTGACACACACAAGGAAGGGTATATTTAACCACTCAATATTACCAAACAAAAAAAATAGAATCAACTGGCAAGATATTCCCTCACTAATAAGACTAATCAGAACAATAGAAATAATCTTAAGACCAATCAGTAAAACTGTTTGTCAAATAGGATTTATTGGTAAATATCCCTCTAATATATAAGATAAGATTCAATTTGGACGGGCAAATCATACCATTTTGGTAGGATATAAAATTCATTCTCTTATTAAAATCAATAATTATTTTCTTCATCCTAATTTCTTTTGTACAAATCATGAATATTCTCATTTGTATTGGTCAACTTTGTAAATGAAATCTCTTAGAAATAATGTGAGTTTAAAGATTGTTTCTTGCAATATTTTCATCGACTTTGAATTCTCTATCCCAATCATATTTGTTTTCCTTCTAACCAACAGTTGTAAAAATGCAATGACGCTCTTGACTTGTATTCAGGTACAATATGTCCAGTTTTCTGTATCACATGAAAACAATAATAATATCAAAACGACAAGTAATACTACACAAATAAAATTAATTATATACAAAATAAAATGACATAGAATAATTTGCATTCATTAATGCTGTGTTTGATTGGGGGATTTGGGGAGGGATTTGGAAAGAGAAATGGAAAAGGTAGGTGAAATGTGAATAAATCATGCCTATATTTCACATAGTTTCACACCCCAAAACCCCCCAACCAAACACAGCATAAAAAAAAAAAAAAAAAAAAAAACAGGTCATTGTAATTTATAGTTTATGTGCAAAAGTTGAGTACTTATCATTTTTCTTTTAAATCTTGATAATGATGTGGACTTGACAACAAATGCTGAAATATTTGTAACTTTTTTTTCTTTTCTTTTTTTCTTTTTTTCTTTCACAACGTCAGCTTTTGCCAAAAAAAATTAGAAAGTTAAAAAATAAATTTTTTGTTATAAGCTAAAATCAAATATATCATATTAGATTTTGTCACTAATAAAAAAAAAAAAAAACTTTTTTAACAACTTCCTAAACGCATTAACTTAAAAAAAGTAAAAAAAGAAAAAGAAAGTAGTCACTAGAAAAATCAATCCCAAATACCAACTTGGTAAGGGAACCATGATATGAAATTTAATGTCCATGCATTACAAATTCATGGTACCTAATTAATGACTCATGTATATCATTCATGCCACACTAACTCCAACAATAATATTAGTTACCAAAATTGGTAGTTAGATAACACACTATTTTTTTGGATAAAATTCTGAGTACCTAGAATTACCAAAAAGCCCAATTATTAAGCAAGTTATTTATGAAATCTTTCCAAAGTACCAATGCAACAATGCTGTATCCATGCATGACGAGCAATGTTTTTCTCATATAGAGTCGTCAATGATATATGTTACCTTGATGGTGAGAAAGGTGAGACCATTATTATATCCTTGTATGAACCTGAAATTAAGACAAAATAAATAAAATCAAGGGAAGGAGTACAGGTATTTATAATTTTACCACACATCAGTTTCCTAGATAAAATTTTAAATATTTTTTTAAGTACTTAGAATTATTGTAAAATTAATGTCATGGCTTATATTATAATTTCATTAAAGATGACTAAAAGATTACTTTTTAGATTAACAATAATAATTATTGGGACAAGAAATGGAAGATCAAACTTCATCATGACCTATAATTGTGAGTAAATTTGTGGGTTTAAATTGAGTCTCTCTCATTTTGTTTTTGGGGGTCATGCTAGCTTTAAGAATGAGATAATTTCAAAATAGTTAGAACTTCAACACATTTTTATATATTTCAAAATATTTTTTACACATATATTGAGGCTAAGGATATCTTTAATGGTGTAATTAAATTTATGTATTAAAATATTTATTAACTAACAGAAAAATAATAAAAATAAATTTTAATTTTTCATATGTGAATTTTTATTAATTTGAAGCCTCGCTCAAGATGAGCAAATTCTAACAAAAATTAAGGACTCAAAAATAATTTTACAAAAATGCTTGGGATCTCCAAAGTTGGGACTCTCTTGACCCTCAAAATGATATGAACCAATCATGTGTTTTTGTTTTTGTTTTTTTTTTTCCCTTTTTGGACCAATCAAAGATAAGTGACAGTTGTAAGATTGTATTTTTTAAAAGTCTGTAACATTGTTACTAGTAGCCCAAAATATATGCCCAGCCCAATATTTTTTAATTTCATAACAGAATTCAAAAGGTCCGAGAAAATTCGGGATTTAAAATCTAATTATAAAATGTATTGTAAATAACAAAACCTCATTACTGAAGCAAATAATGGAGTGTTCAAATGTACCGGTGACGAAGCAATGGTGCGGTGATTTGTACGGCATCGTATCACCCCCGTAAGTCTAATTTTTGTGCCCTAATTACTTTTTTTAATTCATTTCTCTTATTTATTTATTTATTATTATTGATTTAATTGCTTTTTTTTGACGTGAGGACTTTGCTTAATTTTGATTTTATTTGTGCCTTCAATTCTGTGCCCTTATTTTTTAATCTAATTTTTTGTGGATAAGTTTGTGAATTTTTATTTAATTTATACTACTCTGTGACGCTTTTGTTTCGCTCGGATCAAATATTCTCTTCAATTTTGAATTGAATTTATGTTGAGTTTTGGATAATCTCTGTGTGTTGATATTCTCTTCCAATCTCTGTGTGTTGATATTCTCTTTCATTTAGATTGATTTTACAGTCATGGTTACTTCCTACAATGTATATTTTTGGATGTGAAAAAAGGAAAAAAAAAATAATTTGAGGATTGATAATGAAGGTACAGAGAGTTTAAATTCAATTGGTAATGAAGATTATATTAATGAAGAATTTGAAGATTTTGTGAGTGAATAATCTAATCAAAATGAAGAACCTGGTCAATGTTAAAGGGCCTCATTTCAACAGTTGGGCCCCCAAAAACTGAGGGCCGGCCCTAGGTGGTGGTGCAGAGTAGAGTAGGTTTTGGTATACATACATGTCCTCATAATCTGCAACATAAGTGGCGGATCGAAAAAAATAAAAATAATAATAATTATAATAAAATTTGTAACAATTGAAACTGAAGGTTGTGTTTGAACGGTGAGGAAAAATGAATGAAATATAAGTTAAATTTTTTTTCTATTTCTCTCAAATTTTTTCTTTTCTTTTCTAAAGTTCCTACTTATCCAACTTTATAATCCAAACATAGCCTAAACATATATGCAGTTCGAAGAACTGTAGAAAAAGTAGCAAAACCACAAAACAATCTAGGGTCCAGATTCTGTACAACGGAGAGTAGAGTAGGTTTTGGTATAGATGCATGTCCCCATAATCTGCAACATAAGTGGCGGATCGAAAAAAATAAAAATAATAATAATTATAATAAAATTTGCAACAATTGAAACTGAAGGTTGTGTTTGAACGGTGAGGAAAAATGAATGAAATATAAGTTAAATTTTTTCTTTATTTCTCTTAATTTTTTTTTTTTCTTTCTAAAGTTCCTACTTATCCAATTTTATAATCCAAACATAGCCTAAACATATATGTAGTTCGAAGAACTGTAGAAAAAGTAGCAAAACCACAAAACAATCTAGGGTCCAGATTCTGTACAATGGAATCCACAATGCTAATGTTTTTTTTTTTTTGGAATGTGTGAGTGGTGTTTGGTCTTTACAACCGAAAGAAGAAGAGAATCCTATGCCCTATGCTTTCTATGTTTTATCTTATAATATATTATACTATATACATTACATTATACATTAACAACAAAAGTAATACATAACAAGACAAGGTGTACAAAAATGCATCCTTGCCTACTTAAGAACTCATCCCAACTAAATTGGTACAAGAGGAAACACAATCATCACAAGCACCTTTGAAACCACAGCTAAATAAAAATACAAAAACCAAAACCTTCAAAGAGCAGTCACTGAAACCCACCATCCTAGAGACCATGCCATCACAGTTCGCGAACCAACAACAACACACACTATTCAGCCCCCATCAACTCAAATGAAAATTCGCTGAAAAAGTTCTTTAGAGTATAAAGATTATTCTTGCTATATTTTTCCATCAACTTTGAATTCTCTATCACAATTATATCTGTTTTCCATCTAACCAACGACTGTAGAAGTCCAATGACTCTCTTGGTTTATATTCAGGTACGGTGTGTCCAGCGCCCTGTACCACACGATAACAATCATAATATCATAACGGTAAGTAATATTATATAAATAAAATTTAGTTAGGTTTAACAATTATGTAAGTAATGACAAGCATGTTTTTCTCATATAGAGTCCTCAATTATATGCCAACCTTGATGGTGAGAAAGGTGAGACCGATATCATATCCTTGAGTGTACCTGAAATTAAGAGAAAATAAAAATAAAAATAAAAAATTCAAGGAAAGGAGTATAGTTAGGTATAACAATTCTAGGTACTTAGAATTTTACTCGGGAAAATAATGTTGGTCCAGGTTCAACTTTTATATAGTGGGGACTGCATTTTAAATGAATCTAGACTGTACATTATTAATTTACCATACACCATTTTCTAAGATAAGCATTTTAAATGTTTTTTATAAGCGATGTAAAATTAATGTTATGTGCTATACTGTAATTCATTCAAGATGACTAATAGGTTACTTTTTAAAATTAATAAATAGTTTTTGGGACAAGAAATGGAAGAAAATTAAGTGTGGAAATTAAAAATAAAAAATAGATATCTGAGGCCTCCACATATTAGGACCTATAATATAAAAAAAAAATAAAAATTGATCACTTGATTAGAAAAAGTAATAATTAATTAGTGGCCAATCTAAAAAAAAAAAATTAATTAGTGGAAATTAATTAAGATTTACCCAGCAACTTGTTGATTAGACATCCAAGCTCTCCATTCATCCACAATCTTATGCCCAAGTGACCTAGTCCATGCTTCGCTTCCGGTGTATGGAACACACATATCATGATCTCCACTGCAATTAATTCATGGAAATAATGAATTAATTAATCACTAATCACTAGCGAAAACATTTAAACAATAGTTAATATATTATTTTTTTCAACCGAATTAAAATAGAAGTAGAAACATATTTGATTAATTCCTCCATCAAATTTCTTATATCCATTGCTGTCAATTATATCTACCACTTCTAACGAAAACATTCATTTAATTAAGGATTCTTTTGGCTTCTTTAGTTGCAGCTTATAAATTCACTTATTTTGTCTTTTATTAGTAAACTTAAAAGGTTTTTTTTCGACATCATTAACAAGTCATGACAATATTGTCAGCAGAGATAACCATGTTAACAGATATAGTCTGAGAAGAGGAAACAATATTTGCTCATTTATGTGTTTTGTTTATGTCTAAATAATATTGTTGTTTTAGAAGGAGAAAAGAATTGCCTCTCTAATTGAGTAATCAATTCCCATCAAAAAATAAATAAAGTAAGAAATTAAAGAGAAAATGAGTTGAATTACCTGAATATAAGTGCTCGATATCCTTGAGCAGTGAGGTTTTTGTGGTAGGGAATCATGCTTCCAGCATCATGGTAGTATGATATGTCACTCGCACATAAGCTCCAAGTTCCAATTTCCTAATTTTTACAGAAATTATCTAAATGAAGGAAAAAGAAAAAGCAAAAGAAACTAATCTGATAGTGGGCTTCTTGTGGTTTTTCTCTCCTTCCTCCTCTCAACTCCCCTCCTCTTCCCCTTTCCCTTTCCTTTCCTATCTTTTTCTTCTCATCCTCTTGTTTTTCTCTCATTTATGAGCTCTGGTGTTTTGACTTTGAACTGTGGCTCTAGCACATTGTGTCTCTGGTTTTATTTAGAGGCTGGTGGGTACTGGATTTTGGAAGACCCACGCTTGCTTGTTACTCAGTTTTTTCCAAACAATTGCTTCTTGGCCGGCTCAGGAAGGTTATGTTTTGCTTGGTAGCTGTTATCTTTTTTTTTAAGCTGGTTTGTGTTGGCTTGGGTGTGACTGCTCTGTTCACATTTTTGCTGAACAAGTATAGCTTGGGATGCTTGGGAAGGTGTAGAGTGGTTCAAGGTTTTGCTTGTTTTGCAGTGCTGCTGCTGCTGCTTGGGTAGAGGTTTTGATGCAGGTTGCCTGGGAGGCTCAAGGTCTTAGGAAAGGATTTATCAATGATCTCTGATTCAAGGATGCATCATGCTTTTGGCAGTAGATGATTTCATGCTGTTGTGTTCATATTAGTTGGTATTAATTGATGTTATCATAGGAGTAGCTTTTTTGGTCTTTTAATTGGACTAAGTGCTTGTTTGGGATATTCTATAACAGATAAAAAAAATCAAAAAATTATTAAAAAAGCAAAAAGGTTGACACTGTTCACAAAAGCCCAGGGGTGGGAAAAATAGGTTCACTAGGCATAGGCATAGATTCACTAGACATCACGGGAATAAAAGATAAAAAAACTAAAAAAAATAAAACAATTTTTTATGACTGTGGAAGACGTGCACCACTGCCAAACAATAAAAAAAACACACAAAAAAAAACAAACTTTTCAAAACATTGTACTCAAGTGGAGACCACAGCTGGAAAAAAAAAATCCAACAAAATCAGTACACACAGCTCCGCCACAACCGTATTGACATGCACGAATTGCATGTTAGTATGCATAGGGGTAAAAAAATAATTTTACTATTTTACATAATATTTTAATATACATTTTTTTATAAAAAGTCAAAAAATTATCCTAAACAATCATATTTTTTTTCCTCCACTTTTTTACCCAAAAAATAAAAAATCACACTTACATAATTCATCCCAAACAACCCCTAACTAGAAGGGGTTTGGTGGGACAGTATATTTTAGACAGTTGTGTTTGCCTCTCACCAACCTTGGTTTAGTGTTAGCGTATGATTAAGCTTACTTTTCAGTGCCAATCTATATACTTATGTGTTGATGTTATGAATACTAGATGAGAAAGGCTGTGCGCTAACCACATAAATCTTGGAGCTGCTACATTCTGTTGGAATCTTCATGAGGGCATGAACTACAATTTTAGGACAGTGTACATATCTCTTTGTAGCTCACAAGTCAGACTATTTGCTTCTCAATTTGCTGCAGTATTTTGTATTCTCTTACTTCATAATGCCTACTTTTTTCATTTTCTTTTTTGTGAAAGGAAAATAAAAATCTATATATGCAATGCCCTTGTTTAATTTGTAACAATTCTCAATTGAAATTGCTCATATACGTTCATTGCTTTCTTTATCTTTTTCTTCTTCTTTTTTTTTTCTTTTTTTTTTTTTCATTGCTTGATTTTGTAAAATTGTAGGAGAATTAATCCATATGTATGGATATACCTGGCTCACGTGCATTGCTTCTCTAACTGCATCGTTGTTCATCCATATTGTGGCTACTGTATCATCCTACAATATTCACGATATATAGTTTACTTATTAGATTGCTTTGCTACGGAACAAAGTAATTAAATATGAAATACTACATACAGGGAGAATTAATTCCAAAATTCAAATTTGACAACCGTTTAATTATAATTAGGCAATTTTATTGCATGTCATGATTAATTTGAAACTATGTTACAAACAAATAATTTAGTTTTCAAACAGCATGCATGGAGTAAATTTTTGTTTCCTTTTCATCTAAACAACCGACATTTTTTTGCCCTTTAGGAAATCAAGCAAAATGTTATTGAAAACATATTAACATTTGTATAGATTTCAGTTTTTATTTTCCAATATTTTCATAGTTATTTTATCATTTCTCTTATGTTTTCGAAACATTTCTAAAACAGTTTTGCTTTTAAGTTAATTGAAATAACGTATTGTAATGAAATTTTGATTCTCAATAACATGAGATTGTGAAAACTATCCACCATCTTATCTCTTCTATAGGCACAGTTATATCTACTCTCATAAAAATATTACTAACAAACACTGTGTTTAATTTGTGGATTTGTCGAGAGAAAGAAAAAAATAATATAAAATTATTATTCCCTTGTTTGGTACCCATGACAAAACAATGAAAAACTCATTTAGAAGGGTAAAATATATCAATCCAAGTGTTGGTATATTTTGAATCAAGCTATCCATGCTATGCTTAGAAAACAAATTTTTTTTGATTAATAAATTAATTACCACGCAGGGAACACTGAAGCTAGTCTGTTTCATTAACTCGGGCCACATTGGAACAATTCCAGCTTTTACTGGTGCTTGAAAAGGCCATGCGCGACCGTATATCCGTTTCCTAACAGCATGAGGCTTCTCTGTCATCCCTAGTTGTTTGAAGCTTGATGGTATGCTACTTTTGTTTACTACATTTGTGTCTTCTTTTGTTGTCGGCCCATGGTAGCAAGGCTCCAGGATGTCATATATGTTTAAACCATCGATAGCCTGGTGATCAAAAAAACAAAAGACGAAAAAGGAAGCAAAAACTAGTTAATTTCGAACTTAATTTCCAGACCAACTTTCTTGTTTTTCATGAGAAAGTACAGAAATATATGTACACACATGCAATGCAATGCAAAATCCCAATGTAGTATGCTTGATCTTTTGATTTGATATATGAAAAAAGTTGAAAACATATGAATAAATTAGAACCAACTTACCCCGTAAACTTTATCAAGCGCAGTTTGACAGTTGTTGTTTGGGGGGTCAGAGTAGTTTCCTTTGCAGGCAATTACAACTTCCTACAAGATGGCGACACAACTCAAGATACATTGCCAATGGACACAATTTATGTATTTCTAGGATTTCGATAAATTACATAAAATGAAAAAGGAAATTATTGTGTGTCAATTTTCATTCACCAACCTCAAAGATACCATCAGAAATAAGAGCCATTCCATGTGCAAATGGGACAAGAGCATTGCCATCAAATATTTCATCTGTGACCCCGTTGCCAATCATGTACCCCTACACATATGCATACATAAACAATTAACGATTTTTTTTTTAAAGTCTAATGCTACAGCATCCCCACACAGCTTAATCGTTTAAATAGGCATCAATACCTTGAAGTTGATGATGGGCTTCTCACCAGCTTTGATTCCTATATTAAATTAATTAAGGTTAGTACTTTAAACCCGCAAAGACGATATATATATATATATATATTAGCTCATGATCATGTCACATTTTAAAGCATATATATAATAAATACCTTTCACTACTTGAGAAGCAAGAGTTGGCACGTACACGCCGGCATAGGACTCTCCCGAAATATAAAATGGATTTGAAACAAATTCCGGGTATAGATTAAACCACTGTGAGGAAAACAAAGTCGTATCTTAAATTTTTCCAAACAATTTATTAGGTTCATACCCTTGGTGGTGTATCAATTTTATTCTTGAAAACCAGTTTGTGTGCTGGTTAACTCGGTCTTGAAGATGACCTAGGAGTTAGGAATCTTTGTTTCAAGTTATCATAATTTTCAACTTCATTAAAATTACCTTGAGTAGAAAATTATGAGTATCAGAGGCTGTTTGTAAGTCTCCTGTTATGTAAACCGTCGTGTTTTTAGAGTAAGAGAATCCAACACCAGCAGGAGAATCCAAATATATGATGTTCGAAACCTAAAGTGACAACAAAATTGAAAATTATATATGTGAGAGCAAGTTTATTAGATAATAATTTTCAGCAAAAAAAAAAAAAGAGGAAAAAACGGGAGAGAAAAACTTATATAAAACCAGTATATAAAAATGAACTATGAAATTTCTCTCTTTGTACATTGTGCATTAAACTATAAAGTAATTAACAAACAGAATATAGTCACAACTAGAAGTTTGGAAGGTGGCCTAATTGCTGCCTAGGCAATGAATTAAAATTTTTTCCCGTTAATATAATCTTTTTTTTTTTTTTTTTGATCGGTAAATGTTAGTTGTTAGATTAGCATCTATAGGAGAAAATCTCCCATTAATATAATCTTTAGGAGAGATTTATTAATTAAACTTATTTTTATAAAAAAAAAAAAAAAAAAAATGGGTGAAGATTGTCGTAATAGATTGTGAAGTTGATAACCTTAGACCAGCTGTATGGATTAAGATGCAATTTAGGTAGGCTTCCCTTCGGGTTTCCAGCTTCGAAATTAAATGGTCCTGTGCAATATAGGATTACAAAACAAACAATTCTTTTTAAGCACATAAATTAATATTAAGGAGACAACTAAATTCACTACTAATATTGTTGGCAGTGGCGGAGACAGAAAACTAAATCAGAAGGGTATTAATTATAACTTCAATTTTTTTCTATGACCAACAATAAGAAGATAATAATAATTTTTGAATTAATATTAAGTACAAAAACTTAAATAAATTATTACAAAAGTATTTCACATAAAATTTTACAATTAACTTCGAGTAAAATCGAAAAGAAAGTATTGCGTATAACTAGTATATCATAGACAATGTAAAAAAGTCATATATTTAAGTCTTTAAAATAAATTATATAATGGTAAGATCAATTAAATTTTTGCAAAATTTGAGTAAAAATTTCATATAATAGTGATATCACGTCATCATTAATATATGATATCACAAATCAATAATAAAGCAACATGCGAAGAGTGAATTTCACATGCAAATATAACTAATATTTTAATAACTTTTACATATATATAGTGAGATTAATTATATTTACATATCAATAATTGAGACTTTTTTACAAAATTTTCATAAAGGCACTTATTGATTACAACTTTTTTTTTTTAATTCTTTTTTCCATAATCAACAGTAAGAAGATAATAATAATTTTTGAGTTAATAATAAATACAAAAACTTAAATAAATTATTAGAAAAGTATTTCACATAAAATTTTACAATTAACTTCGAGTAAAATCGAAAAGAAAGTATTGCGTATAACTAGTATATCATAGACAATATAAAAAAGTCATATATTTAAGTCTTTAAAATAAATTATATAATGGTAAGATCAATTAAATTTTTACAAAATTTAAGTAAAAATTTCATATAATAGTGATATCACGTCATCATTAATATATGATATCACAAATCAATAATAAAGCAACATGTGAAGAGTGAATTTCACATGCAAATATAACTAACATTTTAATAACTTTTACATATATATAGTGAGATTAATTATATTTACATATCAATAATTGAGACTTTTTCACAAAATTTTCATACGTAAAAATATAATTTGTTGTAGTCCCTTCATTTTTAATAAAACAATTACTATTATTCTCATAATTTAGAAATGCCGTTGACATTTTATTCTAAATATTATTTTTGTTTAAAATTTTATTTATATACATATGTAAAAATAAAAAATAAAAAATAAAAAAGTTATAAATCCAAAATTGAGAGGGGCACGGGACCCCTTTGGCCTCCATGTGACTCCTCCACCGATGGCTGGTGTGTGACGCTAATATTATTCTAATTAAACATTAACGAGCCCAATGAATAATTTCCACACACATTATTGGTTATGGCAGGTGAATCTGCATTACTCAGGACACTTATTAGTTAACAAGGTCAATAAATATAATTGTGTGTAAAGAACAATGATCATGTCCAAGTCTATTATAATTCAAAATTGATGCATTTTGAACTCAAAATGGATTAATTATATATGCAGTAATATTACATACGTAGAATATTCTATAAAAAAGATACGTACCATGTTCGTAGATGAAGCCATCAAAGCTAGAGCAACCAGGTCCCCCATTGAGCCATAGAACTATCGGATCGTTTGATGGATTTCTTTCGGAGACAACAAAGTAGTAGAAAAGGTTCTTTGGAGGATCAGGATTGCCATTTATGGTCACATACCTTCACACACAACAACATTGCATAAGCAATTTACAATTAATTCTACTACATTCAAAGCTCTATGTATAAATATGTAGAAATTGTAGAGTAGTTATAAATGTATATAGGATTGAATTGCATACCCAGAATAGTGTTTTGAAGGGAAGGTACCATTGAACCCGGGAAGGCTTGTAATCAGAGAAACCTCTAGTCCCAAGGCTATCTCTCAAAACAAACACCCCATATACTAATCCCAAGGTACTAGTAATCCTAATCCCCTTGCTATAACCCAAAACAAACGGGGCCATAGGGTTGAATTGCATACCCAGAATAGTGTTTTGAAGGGAAGGTACCATTGAACCCGGGAAGGCTTGTAATCAGAGAAACCTCTGGTGCTGCTTCAATGATAATCCCAAAACCCAGAAGCAAGCAGCAAAGTGATGATACCTTCAAAATTACTAATGACTTATCCATGGCCAATGATGCCTCCTATCTAACTTTCTTCTTTACAATTCACTCTACATTCGCATGAAAACCAAGTTACTTATATATACAAGTTTCTGTGCGTGTGTGCGTGACAGAGAGTAGAAATTTAGAAAAAATAAGCAGCTTTTGCCTTGATAATTGCACCATATGCAATGCAAGATGGTTGTTTTGGAATAATATGATAGGATACTTCTGGGTCTGACTGGCCGTAGGGTGTGGGCTCATTTTAGGTTTATTTAAGTGTTTCAAATCATTTAATTTTTATTGATTTTAGTAATCAAATATGGATAATTATATATTTGAATAATATTTGTTTTTATAAAAAGACCTATAGTTATATATTTGGATAATATTTGTTTTTAAAAAAAGGACCTAGAACCCCTGAGTATATGATCTAGACTGGAAGGTACTGTTTCAATCTGAATGGTTCATTTTGTAAGATTTTTTTATGTATATCTTATACTAAAAAATTATATCAATCTATAATAACATATTCAATTTATAACATTTATCATCCCCAAAAAATAATGATGTGCATTTTTTAGTGACAAATATGATAAATTTAATAAAGTTATGAATATTGAATCGACTTAATTTTTGTGGGTGGATAATACACATGAAAAATGTAATAAAATGAATAATTTAGATTATTGAACTGGGAATATGGATGGGAGGAAATTCAATTCTGCAACCATTAATATTTAATCAATTTAATAATTTATATAAATTAAATGATTAATAAAGAAATTGCGGAGCAATGAGAAAGGATAATGGTTGGGGCCGACCCCTCAAGTCTTTTAAGTCCAGAAATATACAAACTACTACTACTACGTGAATATCTATGATGATCATAACAAAAGGTAGAGTCAAACAAAGAAGAGTTATGCCAGATCCCAAATAATATGTTGTTTTTTTATCAAACCTTCTATACATATTAAATTTGTGTGGGTTGAGGTTTAGTAGAAAATTTGATAAATTATTTAGAGTATATAACATTTTTCAACAAAGAAATCAAAAAAAGAGTCAAACAAAGAAATCAATTACAGTTTTTTTAACTCTGTTTAAAAAAAAAAAAAATGACAAAAAATCAGAGTAGTTAAAATTTTATACATCCAGATTAAGCACTAGAGGTGATAAACGACTCGAACGAGTCGAACAGTTAACTGTTTAAGTTTGATTTGATGATTTTAACGAGTTTCACAATTTGTTCAAGTTTGGTTCGTTAAACTTTTGAACTGATCTAAAACGAGCTTTTATTGAGTCAAACTCAAATAGTTTGATATTTTTATATAATTTTAAACTTATTGAACCAAACCAAACGTGCAATTGACTGTTCAAGTTTGATTTGAAAACCTTAATGAGTTCTAAAATATGTTCAAGCTTGACTTGTTTATTTAAAGAACCGAACTCGAACAGCTTTTAACAAGCCGAACATGAGTCAAGCTCGAATAGTTTGGTTTATTTATCACCCTTATTAAGGACATTAATAGTGTAATTAAATTTGTGTCTTATGATAAAAATAAGATATAATTTTCTATGTACGTGTTTATATTTTCACCTCTTGAAGATTGCACTTGCCGGACTATTAAATTGGAATCTTTTAAATTTTCATATTGTCCAGTCTAAGAATTCTTCTCCACATTTGGCAACATCTTTTTGTTTGAGGATATTTAAATTTTGAATTTATACAGAAAACTTATGTCATTTATAATTTATTACAAAATTTTATAGTGTTGTTACAAAAAACATATCATATGCACTTTTTAAGGAATGTGCGTAGTATCTATACCCTTCTTTCTTTATTTTTTTTATAAATTAGTTTAGTATTAAACCTTAATTTATTTTTAATTTTAAAATGGAATATGATAATTTAGATTAATTAATAGAAAAATTCTATCCATGTTTTGGCTCTCGGAGATCAAACCCTGGTTTCGTCTCTAGTTAGTTTAGTGATACCACAATGTTGAAAAAATGTCTTTGTATGGAGAAATTATTTTTTACTCTAGGACATGTCATGTGGTATTTTAACTTGATATTTTTAAGTTGAAATAGTGAAATCCAATACTTTTTGATATAAGTAATAAATAATATAATAATTTTGTGTATTATACATACAGTAAGACCATCTCCAATTCAGATTTAAATCTTTCTTCAAATTTAAATTTGATAAAAATTTGGTGAAAATGGTATTCCAACCATTTCATCAAATTGGTATCAAATGAATGAAGTTTTACTTTTTTCATCAAATCAAAGAAGCGTTTAAACTTTCATCAAATCTCGCAAGTGACCGTTGGTGAACAAACATATGGATGACCAGCCGGTAAACTAGATAAACAACCAGATTGGGAAAATTTTAGAGAAAATCTACACTTGTCACGACTCAATCTCGGCAAGGCAAACCCCGCCAAGAGGGCGCACTTCAACGCTATAGCACTTGTATACAATAATCACCTGTATAATTTTTATATCACATCACCAACAGTGCATAAGACCTTTCGATTGGCCAACATATATGAGATGATTCATTCAATGACAAAAATATCATCATGCTACTAAGATAGTTCTAATGCACCACTACCCCAATGATAAAACGTACTATTCATGAATCCGTCAATATATCTAACTTCATAAAGCAAATATTTACAATCAACCTCTTTCATAAAAACAAAGGATAAAACTACATCCTAGAGTGACCCTAAGCAAAAACCTCAACTACAAGATGCCCACATTTGATCCTCCAGAACTCTAATCTTCCAAGTTGAGGCAGGCCACACAAAAGTCTAGGAATCTGAAAAAAATTAATTTAAAAAGAATGAGCTAGAGCCCAATGACTATACCAATCCCATGGAGTTATAAAACTTGCTCCTTCCAATTGGGTTCAAAAATAAAGATAATAAACATAAGAACTTAATTGGACTGAAATTTATACAAATTGAAAAAAATTGCATAAACCATTATCGAGATTTTCCCAAAGAATCTCATAATCTAGGAAAAATACATTTGAATAAGGAAAGTAAACAAAAATACAACTTTTCAATATATTAAGATTTCATGTCCATCATACGAACCATTACATAGCCTTAGGGTCGCGTTACCTTGCGACTTAGGTGGTGACGGTATCGTTGCCCAAAACATAACCATAGAAACACAACTCATGTCATCATAGCACTTCAATTCTCATTTCAATGTTTCGGTCCCCAAGACCCCAAAGCGTTTTGGCCCTTGTGGCCCCAAAGGCTATATTCAGTTATATAATCAATAAAAATAAATACTCTCGCATGACGTTTCATTGTCATTTAATCATCATCATTATAAAATATGAAAGACTCAACTTAAATAAATTCTCGTAAAAATTAATGCTTCATTATGCAAATGAAATCATATATTTATTTAAACTCAACCTTTAACCTCAATAAATTTATAGATTTTCTTCTTATACATATATCATGATGAAATGTGTTTCTTCTTATACATATAAGGTAAATTTCCATGGTAAGTATACTCATTTCCTAAATAGCAAAAACGTACATTTGAAACCCTACGAGTTAATTCCCAAAAGGTGTAGAGATGCTGTCACGCTCCAAAATTTAGACAATTAAATATTAATTAGGACTAAACCCCAATTAATATTCCATCATCCAAATCCTAGGGGTGAAACAAAAAAACTAAAACGCCAACCAAACCATTCACCATAAATTCATAACTAATAAATACCTCAACATTAAGGTAGCAACAACTAGTCAAAACAACTTAAATAAAGTACGGTTACAAACCATGTCAAATTATTCTAATACTAAAGTCAAAAAAATAATAATAATAAAAAAAAAATAATAATAAATACATAAACTACTAACAAGCCTAAGCTAAAAAAAAAAACAAAAAGAAATCTAAGAGATATGCCCAAAAACTTTAGTTACTTCTCGTCACCACCGTAGCCTCAACTAATCCTGCAAAGGAAGCTCAGCTGCGCTCAACAGAACGCACCCGAGTTGCCAAGAGACAAAACGGGTCAGTATACAGGTATACTGGTATGAGTACAAGATTCAACACCCACGTGTCCACCAGACACAAACAAAAATTCGTTAAATTCTTATTACGGGACAAGACAAGTAGTTCCAACCGCACCGAGACGAATGGGTAGTTTCTCGAGACACGGTGGCATTTAGTTTCTTGTCCGTACACAACAAAATATAAATGTATTATAAAATAAACAAAATAGAATTAGAAATATGGTGGGTCAGCCCTGCATAAAAAGTTAGTAAGACCCACCATCCTGCAAAACAAATAAAGTTAGTATAATTTAATCATAAGTAACTTGTTGAAACAAATATAAAATTACACCGTTTCATACTTAAATAATTCGAATTGATCAAAACTCAAAGAACGAAAGTTGTACAGAATCAAATTTTCTATAAGACAACGTGTACGAATTTAACAGAAACTGAACAGGTTAAGAGAAAAGCTTGATCTAAAAATCTAGACGGAATTCAATCGAAAAATATGAAACTGAAAACGAACAAAAACTGCCATAAGATGATTTTTTCCGAAAAAGTTCAAAACATGAAAAGTGTGCAGAATAATGTTTTACTTTAGTTTATGCGAAACTAATAAAAATGAACTCGTTTCATGGGTTAAAACAGCCTATAAAATCTGCATTACCAAAGTGAATCAAACCGACAATAACCAAGGTCATCCGATTATAAGTTCTAATCGATCTTTTTAATAAAAAGCTGCAACACAAGAGTTGTCCAAAATCACGTATACATGCTTCTGCTCAAATTTCATAATTTATCAAGATCGTTTACTATTTTCTTTTATCATATACATAACAGTACCATACACACTATAGTAATAAATTCATAATTAAATTCTTTGTTCCTTAACTCCACCACTTCGGCTCTCCCCTTCCGGCCTACACATATATCCCATGTGCCTCCCGTATACCTAACACCGCTCCGAAGCCAAACTTGCACGGGGATATCGTCCCGAGTTTGACTCACACTCCCCGGATGGTTAGCATATACGTACGCGCACAAATCAAAGCACTCGTC